GAGAGAGAGAGAGAGGACGAGAAAGAGTAGACTGAAAAAGCGAAAATCACTGAATAATTGACAAGTCTATAGAACACTAGAAAGATCAACTTCAATCTGTATGCGTTTAAGTGGATATAAACAACCAATCAATCAGTTACTGCATCAGTGCCGAGAAGAAACACAACGATGAAACGAAAAGCTGCTGAAGAAATAAGTAATTAAACACAAGAGTGTGTGCGCATGTGTGTGTGTGTGTGTGTCTGTAGGTGCACGCATGTGCACCTCATCATTTTAGTTATCGTTGTCCATACTGCTCCCATTGTCCGGCATTCCACATATTACTCCTTGTGGGACCATCCAGTCGTGCACCGGTTGGAGCACACCATTGAACGTTGGACGAGGGATCGAATTCCGAGGGCGTCGTGGTCGGGAATTGCTAGAAAATCAGTTTTGCAAATTACTTTACATCTCAAGCGCTCATTCTTCATCGAACAAGTAATGTACGCAATGTACCCTCTCTCGTCATTCTTCCAGAAACTCATGTCGCTCGGCGTGTTCTCTTTTCACTAGTCGATGGTTCTGTAAGGGGCGAGATGATCCCCTCGACGGTAAATTGAAATGTTTAAAATATCACAAAAATCCGTTTTTGGATACACGTGATTAATGAAGCTGTTAATGCTACGAGCTGGTCAGGTACTCGCATAAGCCTCCTCAGATGTCCCGAGAAGCAGCGCCGGTCCTTTATGATGCCACCAGACCATCCTATTTGCGATACCTCGGCTTTGTCTGAGCTTTGTTTGTTACCCCTGTGGATCAACATCTGTAATCGGGGATATTCAGCTAACACACCTTCCCACTGCCTAAGTTACACGCGGTGAATTACAACTAATGCCATTAGTTATTTGTTACAGGAAGGAGATCCGAAGTGTACCGTCGGATCCGAGTTTGCCTTTTTGTGATTAGAAATTTTACCTGTGTACCACACTGCCAATTCCCCTCGCCATTCGAAAGGATCATATGAGTGGCAACCACATATTCGAATTGCTCCGAATAGGGATTCAAAAATCTGTGAGCAGTGACCATGCACGGCAGGCATCCGCCACGTGCTCTTAGCCGAGCTGAAATTTGCGTTCCTTGGTCCTGCAAAACATGACTAGAAGATTATTCAGATTTTTGACAGTCGATTCGAATCCTTATTAGACTTAACAACATGTAAACTACGGTCCAGGGACAAGCGCAAATTATGTGATTTAAGAAATTTGCAATTTTAGTCCTCCACGCAAGGATATCGTATCTCAGGAAGACTGGATTGGCCCAATTTAAGATTATTTGCCTCGGATTAATCGGAAAATATTTTGTAAAAATTTCCAGTTCGTTCGCTATCTTCTTGCTACTCGAGCTAAGCCCGAATCTGAAGGTAATAATACAAAATGCAGTGAAATATTATTTGATGAATATTGCAATATTTTCCAGCGAATATCATGCTGAGTTCTCGAGTTGTATGTGTAAAAAGAGCACGAATTTGGGGGCATATGCCAGGGCAATAGGAGTAGGTTCAGGTTCGTGATCTCAAAGGCAAAAAGTCCTTAGTCTCCAATAAAATTAAATTATCCGGACATGCAAACAAACAGACACTTGTTCCCTCTGCAATGCATTTTCATTTATTAAACGAAAATGCAAAAAAAGCATCAAAAAAAAAAAACAAGTGCGAAAATGCTCGGTATTACAACAACTTATAACTTCAGTACTATAATTTCATTGTATCGTCTTGTGAAACGCAGGTTTCCTAGTCTAGCCGTTCTACAAATGCTTTGAGCAATGCTGCATCGTTTGGTGGTCAATCTACCCGACGTCTGTTTCCTGTTGACTTAATCGCCGCGTAGAGTAATAAATTAAAAATTATAGAAATCAAAAAAACCGAAAATTATAAAAAAGAAATTTTCCTCCAATGAATTTACAAGCATACTTGTAAGATGTGCAGGAATGTATCGCGAACAGTTTGTTCGTCTGCAGGATGCATAATTTGCCACCAGTAACGTCCCAGAATCTGTTCAGTGGGTACGGCAAGCAGTGCTGCTGCTCTCTGCTCCACAAATGTGATCTGCAAGCACGCATGCACTTGCTAAACAATTTTTTTAGATATTAATGCACGGAGGGAGGAAGTCGAGAGCAGTGAGGGAGATGCCAAGGAGCAACCTCTAAAAACCATTAAAAAGAGAAGCATGAAAACTTTGACTAGGAAGGGGGAAATTTAATCAGAGGAACGCTCAAATTTTTTGAATTGAAGCAGAAACTAGTCAAAAAGAAGCGAAATTTTATTGCAGAGGTGTGAAATTTAGCCGAATATGTGTGTCAATTTCAGCCGAAACCCACTGAAATCAATTTGGAAGCTTTTTTTGAAAAAAAAAAAAACGTTAAATTTGTTTGCACAAATGTCAAATTAAGCAACTGGGGACATAAACTTGCATATGTAGATAGTCAGCTATGGCCAAAGTGGTCTGGATTCAAGGGAATTCGAGGATTTCAGCATAAATTTTATTAATATTTAAATTCTATTACACGCAACTGCTACATACCCATTCATGCTTGTGAGTGCCTGTTTGATCCCCGCACACTACGCCAATCACTTAAAGCTTCGTTCAGAGTTAATTAGATCGGGCGAAAGG